AGAATGAGGCAGGCAGATGATGGTAATGTGCAGGGATTGGGGAACCCCATTAGGGCTGGCCTGGCTAAGACAGACACAGATAGAAGAGTAATTGCCCAGTGGTAGGGGGTGGCTGAATATTAGGGGTCAAACCTGAAATTTCCTTCTTGAGAAGGAAAACAAATCTGCTTAAAGCTACACAATAAATTAATAACAATAATATATTTTTTAAAAGACTGACTAATGCTCCTCCCTACCTCCTTCACTCCCCCACCCAAAAGAAAATAAGAAAACTTTCAGGAAAGTTGGGGAAGGGGAGGTACGTGCTGCGTCAGAGGCTCTTGGGAGAGCATTTGTTGTCTCTTCCTAGTCTTTGGCCTTATTCCAGTCCCAACTGTTCAAAGGCACCGGGGCAGAATTTGTCTTCCCTGGGCTGGAACACAGGATATCACTAAGATTCCTCTAGATCCTGGAGTGATGCTGAGAGTTGCACGCATCTGCTCCGACTTTTCCCATTTAAAATTCCTCGTCAGAAATCCTTCCTTCCACTCTGACATCCCAGACATCGCTCTTGGATCTTCCACCCTACTTGCCTTGCATTTCTACCAGTCAGCTCAGACAGATGAAATGCAGGATAAAACCTCTCAGTCCACGGAGCAGGGACCTTGTCTTTGTGTCTCATAAGGTGCATGTACACCTGCAGTGCTTTGTAAATAATAAATGGCCACAATAAAGAGGCTGCTTCTTTGGGGTCAGGGGTGTGTGTTTGCAGAAAAACAGTTCCCCCTACAACTCCTCCCACCAGGTCTAGCTCTGCCTGGCACAGCTGTCACTGGAGGCTGAGGATGCAGTGCACAGAGATTTCCAAAGGGACATGTGACCTGAAAACTTAGGGTTCCAAACCGAGTAAAAGGCACAACGCCAGGATTTCTCGGCCAGCGGAGGTCAGAGAGCAGCCTGCTGACACACTATGTACTTGAAAAATAAATGTACCGTGGAAATGCAAGATGTTATTATTATTACTTCAAATTTTATTGTTATGCTTAATCTGGCCTTTGCAAATGACAACAGCACAGGATTTTCAAGTCAAGTGTATAACCATAATGTACTATTGAAAGAGAGATTGGCTGGTAATAACAGGTATTATTACTCTAATAATAACTTGCCAATTTCATACAAAGGAGAGAGACCTCTTTCCAGCTGGGAGAACAAGCTGAAATAGACAAGGGCGTTTCATTAGGGTGACTGTGGAAGGGCAAGGACACCATGACAACATGGTCACTCACTAGGATGACCCCATCACTGATACTGAGAGCAAGTGGAGTAAGACTCTCCACTAGCCCTCAGTTTTGCTACAGGAAACAGCAGTTCATCTTTTTGAAAACAGGCTGCTAAAATCTCCCCTCTGTGTTTCCTGTTGCAGGGCACCATCAGAGCCACAAAAAGTTCTAGAACAATGAGCTCATCCATCATGTATATTGGGGGCCTTCATAATAATAGCTGCCATTTATTGCAGCCTTACTATGTGCCGGGCACTGGGCATCACCTCATTGACCCCTCTCCACCTTCTCTGTGAAGTGAATCCTGTTATCATCTGTTTCATACATGAGAGGCCTTAGGCTCAGGGTCGACGGCCCAGGGTTCTAGCCAGGATCAAAACACAGACCGAATCTGCAGCCCAAGATCTTTACCACTGTGATCTGCTCTCTCTACTGCCACTTGGCAATGTTTCAGTGGTTGAAATAACTGAGACTTGACACCTCTAGGCTACAGGGAACACTTTCCAAGCATCTGAGCTGATGGAAGGGCAGAGTGGCAGGAATCTCACCAACGCACAGGTGCTCAGAGAGGCACCTGGACTTGGCTGTGGACGGCCTCACTGGGGGAGTTTGCAGCAGAGTTGCTTTCTGAATGATGTTTCTCGAGGCAGGTGTTAAAAATTGCCGTGATTTCTGAGATTACTCTGGCTAGGCGGGAGAGGAGAGTAACTCTGAAGGAGGGGTGGGAATGGAGAAACTACTGCGGCATAAAAATTAGACTACAGGTAATTTGTAAAGTTGATGATCAACCTTGATTAGACTTGCTCTTTCTAATTAGCAGAGCTGGATGGCTGTAGCTCCTTCAGCCCTTTGAGTCTTTATTTTTAAAATCTCTTTATCTTTAAATGAGGAATGTGGAGGAAAATTAGAAGGGTGGATGCTTCGAGGTTCTTATTGTCTAGCTCTGACCATCTGCCCTGGACTCTATTTATTGCAGTTTGTCAGTTCCATGAGCCATCTTAATGAGCAAGCAGGGGAAAGGTCTCAGTCCAAGCCTTGCTCTGGCCTAAAGTGATTACCTCACGAACGACTCACTAATTTTTAATTCATGCTCTGATCCATCCCAGACCCCTGGCTTGTGCATATTCTGCCCCTTCCCCCCACCCTTCACGAGCAGGAAGAAAGACGTCTGGGCTGCTTCGGTGCCTGTTGACACAGGAAAAGGAGCCAGGGTTAGTGCACATCCCTTTCATTTTCAGGGAAGTCACAGAACCACATCTGTTTTTTAAAGCTTAAGGGTGGAGGGCTGGGATGGGGGAGAGGCTGGGGGAGAAGGGATGCGTGTATGTGATGGGGGTTATGATTGTGGAGGTAATGATGTGGCGAGTGTGTCCATGTGCAATACGGTGTGTGTGTGATGTCATGTGAGCGTGCTATGTAGGTCAGGTGTGTGATGGTGTCTGTGTGTGTGTGTGTGTGTGTGTGTTGTGCTCTGTGTGATGTGGTATGCGTTGCTGTGTAGGTCAAGCGTGTTTTGTGTGTGAGTATGGTGTGTGTGTGCAGTGTGGTGTGATCTGAGTGTGAGGGGTGTGTGTGTATATGTGGTATGGTGTGTGATGTACAAATGAGCTTACGTGTTGTGTAGGTCGAGCGTGTTGTGTGTGTATGGTGTGTGCATGCACAGTGCCTCTGGGTCCTATGGATGAGCATGTGTCTGTTGTGTGGTGTGTGTGCGTGTGCAGTGCGGTGTGGTGTGTGATGTGAGTGTGGGGGAATGAATGTGGTGAATGATGGTGGGGTGCATGTGTGGATGTGTTTGCATGTGCATGTGTGAAAAGAGGCAGAACACGAATGAAAGCATCTCTAACAAAATAAGCTGCTTGAAAAGGGGATTTTTCTATCCCTAGAAATTTGCCAGAATATCTTCCTTTTTTGGCTAAAGCCTCTGCTCAGAAGGTCTCTGATGATCTGGTTTAAAAAGGACAGGATTGGTTTCAACCAAATAAAATGAGCGTTAAAGATACTTTGGAAAAAAAGCATTTTTACAAATCCAGTGCTAACGATGCAGTGGTTTCAGTTTCCTTCCATTGAGTGAGAAGGAATATTTAATTTTGAAACCAGTGGAGGCTCAGGTCCTATGCAGCAAGATAAAGAAGACAATAGCACACAGCCCCGTTGTAGATTCGTCCCTGCTCCCAGGTCACAGATGGGATGAAATCCTCTCTTTGTGGAATACTGAAAAGGACTTGTGGTCTCCAGGGTTTGCCATTCCAAACAGAAGTAGCCGAAGTCACCCTGATATGGAGGTGCCATCTAGGGGCAAGAAGGGGCTGGAGGAGGCTCCTGAAGAACAAGGAAAGGAGTCATCCAGCCAAAGGATTTTGCCACAGTCCTTCATGCACGCTTTCTGGTGCTGAGGTCCTTGTGCAGGGGAGCGTCATAGAAGGGCTCAGCCCAGACAACTCCAGCAGCTTCAAAAACATTTCCACTGAGAGAGAGGCTTTTCTTCAAGCCAAGCTCTCTGGCAGAGCAGCATTCCAGAGAAATGCAAATAGAGTAAACATATGGGAAAAAGTTTACATTCACAAGTCATCATGGAAATGCAAAAAAAAAAAAAAAAATTGACACTGACCTGGTGAAGTTTTTTTAAATGATCATGTTGGGGTGCTCTCACGCTGCTGGGAGAAGTACACACTGGAATAACCTTTCCGAGAGGGAGTTTGGCAACACTTATCAAGACCCTTAAAAGTGTTTCTGGCCAGGCATGGTGGCTCACACCTGTAATCCAAGCACTCTGGAGGCCAAGGTGGGTGGGTCACCTGAGGTCGGGAGTTCAAGAACAGCCTGACCAACACGGTGAAACCCCGTCTTAAAATAAATAAATAAATAAATAAATAAATAAATAAAAGTGTTTCTACCCTTTGGCTCAGTAATTCAATTTCTACGAGTTTATTTAAAAAAAAAAAACTCATCAGAGTGTAAAGATTTCTGTAAGGAGATGTCCATTGCAGGGTTAGTTATAAATGTGAAAAACTGGTATTGACTTTTGTAATCAAAATAGAAAAGTCTAAAATAAATGTACTGTCTACATAATGAAATACTATGTTGACATTAAAAATCATATTTTTGGACATGGGAAAATAGTCAAATACAATGAAAAGTTAAAAAGGAAATATGTTTGGAAGTATATAATGTGTATTTATAGAAAAAGGGGCTGAAAGGATGTACATCAAACTTAATAGCTGTTTCCTTTGAGGAAATGACATAAGTGATTTTTTTCTTTAAGTTTTTCTGCATTTTTCCATAATAAATATACTGGGAAATAAATATTATAATGATAATAATAAAAACAACATACATAATTTTTAAAATAAGGCTGAGGCTAGATATGGTGGCCCATGCCTGTAATCTAAGCAGTTTGGGAGGCCAACACAGAAGGATTGCTTTGAGGCCAGGAGTTCAAGATCAGCCTGTGCAACACAGCTGAGTTCCCATTACTACAAAAGAAAAAAAAATTAAAATTAGCTGGGCATGGTGGTGCATGCCTGTAGTCCTAGCTGCCCAGGAGGCTGAGGTAGGAGCATTTGAGTCTAGGAGTTTGAGGAGGCGGTGAGCTGTGACCACACCACTGCACTTCAGCCTGGGTGACAGAGTGAGATCCTTTCTCTAAAAATAAACAAATAGATCAATAAAACATTCCTATGAACAACAATGACAAAGGTCGTAGAAGAATCCCTTTCAATTAGAGGGAAAGGCACTCACATTTTTAAGTACTTCCTCCTATGATCCAGGCTTTGAACTTGGGTCATATCATTTCATGCTCACAATAGCCTTGGGAGAGATGTCTGTTCTCATAGCTCCAATGCCTTTCCCCTCCCCTCACTTTCAGCCCATGGTCTTGCTTCCTATCCCATTGAGAAAACGAAACAAGAAGAAGGCATCTTCCATACTCTCCCACTATTGCTTCTACCTCCTACCTGCGTCTGTGCCCACGGATTTGGCTTCCCTGCTCTTATTACAGATGACTCACCTGTGCTGCTCTCTAAAGCCAGCCTCCGCACTCGGGCTGCAAGTCCAATCTCCTTTCACCTACTCAACATTTCTCCACAAGTCTTCTCTCTCTGTCTCACGTCAATTTCCCTCGCTCTTGGATCATCCCATCGGCTTATTAACATGCTGTAATATTGCCCACATTTTAAAAATTCTCTCTTGACTGACAGCCCCTTCCAGCTACATTTCCTCCTTTCTACACCCACTTTTGCAACAAAACTCAAAAGAATTGTCTATATTCACTGATTACATTTCCTCCTGTTTTCTTTAAGCCTCAGTAGTCAGCTGTCACCCTACCCTGGTCCATTGAAATTGTTCTCATCAAGCTCAACGCTGACCTCCATGTTACTAAGCCAAATGGTCAATTATCAGTCCTCACCTTGCTCAACCTCTCAGCAGCCTTTGATGCAGCTGAAATAACTGACGCTTCTTGAAACGGTTCCTTCACTTGACTCTCAGTAGTCTACGCAATCATGGTTTCCTGCCATTCAGTTGCTGTCTCCTTTTGCTGATTATAACCTTCTCTAATCCCCAGGGTTCCATTCTCTGCTCTTTTTTCCTCTGTAAATAGGAATCTCTCCCTTGAATTTCAGATATATAGCTAAATTATAAATGGATAGAGAGATAGATACCATATCAAACTTAATCAAAATCAAACTTCCTATCGTCTTTCCCAGACACATGTTCTTACCACTGCCTTCCTCATATCAGTTAGCGGCAGGGGTATTCTTACTGCTGTTCGGGTTCAAAACCTTAGTATCACCCTTGAGGAATCTTTCCCTTTCACTCTGCATCTAACTTATTGGCAAATGTTGTCTCTTCCACCTTCATAATACATCCAAAATCCAGCCACTTCTCACCACCTCCGCTGCTACCATCCTGGTTCAGGCCGCCACCATCTCTCTCCTGGATTTTTTCCTCCAGACTAGTCCCTTTAATTCCACCCTTGACTCTACATTTATTCTCAACACAGTAACCAGGGAAACCTGCTAAAATACAAATCAGATAATGCCACTCCTTCCCGTGTTACTCAGAATAAAAGCCTATGTCTTTCCAAAGGCCCATAAGGACCTGGGTCTCTGTTTCTTTCTCCAACCTCAACCTACTTCTCTCTGCCTTCCCACTCTGCTCTTTCCATAGTGACTTCCTGGCTAAATAAGAGCAGACCAGTTACGTTCTACCTCGGATATGTGTTTGGCTGCTCTCTCTTATCCCCAGATTTTTGCACAAACGTCACCTTCTCAATGAGACCTTCCCTGATCATCCTGTTTAAAATTGCTTTTTGTGGCCGAGCACAGTGGCCCATGCCTGTAACCCCAGCACTTTGGGAGGCTGAGGCAGGCGGATCACGAGATTAGGAGTTTGACACCAGCCTGGCCAACATGGTGAAACCCCATCTCTACTAAAAATACACAAATTAGCTGGGTGTGGTAGTGGGCTCCTGTAATCCCAGCTACTTGGGAGGCTGAGACAGGAGAATTGTTTGAACCCAGGAGACAGAGGTTGCAGTGAACCAAGACCACGCCACTGCACTCCAGCCTGGGTAACAGAGCAAGACTCCGTCTCAAAAAAAAATTTCTTTTTGCCCCATGTCCCGTTTCCTTGCCTCTCTGTCTCTGTGACACTTGCCATCATCTGATACGCTATGTAGCATACCTTTCCTTTGCTGTCTAGGGTGTAAACTCCATGAGGCAGGGTCTTTTGTCTGCTTTGTTCACCGTTACATCCCCAAAACCTGGATCAGTGCCTGGCCTAAAACAGGAACTCAGTGAACATTTGGGGAATGAATGAATGAATAAATGAATGAACTAGCAGTGATTAAAAAAGACTCAACACCCTACTCAGTGCTTTAAAAATATGCCACTAATTACAGGCACAGAAAGAAAATTGGCCGTAAGCATTTCTTTTCTGTTCCCATTAGAACTTCTAATGAGATTGCACGGTTGTTATTATTTCAAAAGCAACAGCTTTCCAGTGTTTAATAATGTGCTAAATGCTTTTGCTGTTTGTTTCCATTCCTTTTTCCCTAATGGGTAAGGGGATTCGATGGCTGATTCCTCAACTCCAATCACCATCGGGAGGCTGGCTTTCCCGATGGCACTTGGCTTCTCCCCTTCTCAGATTCAGCCAGCACTTAGTTCATAAAATCTTTGAGCACCTACTGTGTACTGGGTGTAGGGTTCTCTCTTTGAATCATAAGTCTATTGTGCTCCACGAAATGTCAACCAAATGCTGGTGCCGCAGTCCCAGTTATCTCATGCCAAGGAAATTTTGTGGCCAGTGTCCCCTGTGCTAAAGCATGCCCTATCTCTGCCAGAAGATCTTTGATGCCACATGGGGCAATATGGTGCTTCCCAGACTCTTCTACTGAACTCCGTGTCAGTGTCAAAACATTCTACGCCCGCCTCACATGATAGTGGTTATTTCCCTCGTGATGGAGGCTACAGATAGGGCTTACTGTGCGTTTGAATTCACAGACTCCTCACGATAACCAAAACTGCCCATCCACAGGCCCCGAAACGCTGATGTCGCTGAAAAGCGCATTGTTCCTAGAGCTCAAAGACCCGATGGCACTCTTGGTTCTGCCAACTATGGGCTGTGCCTCCTTAGGCAAGCTACTCCATCTTCAGAGATAATCTCCCTTTCTGTAAAATGGAACTGTGAAACCCACCTGTGCTAAGGTTGCTGTGAGGATCAACTGAGACTCGTGTGAAGGGGCTCATAAACATTGGCAAGGATGAAGTGTTAGTGAACTCACTGTCTTCAGCCTCTCAACGCTCACCTGAGTGGTTGCTGCCACTGAACCACCTCTTTGGCCTATCTCTTTAGAAATATCAACGGAGGTGAGCTTGCTGTGGTTTTCTCCATCTAATTTCTCTTTATTTTGCAAGCTCATTAAACATATGCTGAGAATAAACGTACTATTAGGCTGTGAATTTCTGCAGGGCAGTAACAGAGTCCTCCTCAGCTCTATTGCCCCAGAAAAAATCTGCAATCAGCACTGGGCTTACAGCCTATCTGCTTCAAAGGAGCCCCAGTGGCCTGGGGTCCAAGGGATCCCCCACCTGACTGACTGAGAGCGTCCCAGAGAGGGTCTGAGAGCGAGGTTTCCCCTTCAGGTCACAGACAAAGAGGAATTTTTCCTTTTGCTTCTCCAAGCAGGCTCACTTCCTCACTGAACACTTTTGCCAGCTGCTTTCAATCCTAATATTTTGGCAGCCAAACAGCATGCTGTTCTGCAAAGGAGCTGGGAAACTGCTAACGATCCGATATGAACAGCCTCCCAGCTCTCCTGGGCGCCTGCTCAGAACCCCAGGTTGACAGTGGGACACAGGGCTTCTCAGCACACTGCCTCTTGCTCCAACCAGAGAAGACCCTGGGCCTCATGCTTTACAGCCCCATCCCCATATCACCAACTCTAAGTATGGAGGGAAACCTGGGTGCCTCTGTCTTTCAGGATCTGCTGCTCAACTCTGGTACAGCACAACGCAGAACCTTAAACACCCTCTCTCGGAAATGACACCATTCCGGCCTGAGGACAACGCTTCTCCATATCTCTTATGTCCTTGATACAAAAGGTGACTTCGTCTGATGAGAGTTGTGGGCTGTGGTGTTTCCGGTGATGGAGATGGACATTATTTCAGAATATGTATCAGCTGGGGAAGGGGAAGTGACTGATCAGCAGAAACACTTGGGTGAAAGAAAAGACAAATACATTAACATGTCAAATTCTTCCTCTCACATAGCCAAGAATGCAATCAACTCTTGCAAAATTCAATATATGTCGCATGTCCATTTTCTTGCTTTTCTTCATGTTCCCATTTGTGATTCTGGAGTTATCCATAAACTAGTGTAGAATTCACAACAGTTTATATGGCAGTTAAGGAACGTTTTATATTATTAAACAGTTTATAAAACCCTTCATTTTGTGTGTGTGTGTATGTGCGAGCATGTGAATGTGAGTGTGTGTGACAGTATGTGTGTGAGTGCGTGTGCATGTGTGTGTAGCTGGGATTTCTCAACCTTAGCACTACTGGCATTTTAGGCTGGTTACTTCATTGCTGTGGGCTGACCTAGAATGTCTAGCAGCATCACTGGTCCCCACCCACTAGATACCAGTAGCAAGTTGTGTCAACCAAAGATGTCCCCAGACGATGCTCCTGGGAAGTAAAACCACCCCAGCTGAGAACCACTAGACATCGACATGTTCACAGACATAAGTGCGTGAAAAGTGATGCTGCTTCTCACACTGGCAATGACAAGGATCTCACACACCAGAATTTTATTTAGTTTCATTTAAATAATTTTGATTAAAAATGTTCACATCCATTAATCATAAAGGTATTTCCCTCTTAATTTTAATAGACACATTTTAATACAAAGAAAATTCATTTTTTTGAAAACATGAAAAATGTGCATTCAAATAGTTTAACTTTAGTATAATCTACACTTTATGATAAAAATATGTTAAAACTTTGGATGTTTTAAATACAAAACTCCAGATCATGACCATCAATAGAACACATATTACATGAATATGTTGATTACACAGCAACATAATTTATGATTTTGCTAAAATAAAAACATGAAAACTAAAATGTGTGGGTGAAGATGTCATAGTTTATGAATTATGTATGTATTTATTTCATTACCCAACCCAACATCATTGGACCATCAACCGAACACCAAAACATGTGTAAGAATAATTTAATTCAGTCATCTTTGATATTTGGCTGAATTTCAGTGATATAGGAACTGTAATTTTGTACATAATGTGTATTCTGCTGAGGCATGTTTGTCAAAGTAGGAAGCTAGAGTATGTTTTATCACATAGTTTATCCTCTTGGTTTATAATACATGGTCTTTGGGTCTTTGCTTGTCTTTTGCCAGGGGCCTGGCATGCATGAGGACAGGTCTCATCCACTTGACCTGAGGCCTCAGCCCAAGGCCTAAAATGGGACTGCGCAGGCACTGAGCCCAGGATGGGATGGAGGTGGGGGGCAAAGGGAGGGTGGGGCTGGTCGATCAACCACAGGCCTGAGTGGCAGGCAGGCCCTGGGCAAAATGGTTAAATAGGTAAAGGTGATTATTCCTTCACTGGGGGCTTCCCTAGCCCATCTTAGATTCCAGGTTCCTCATGCCCTATCCCAGTCAAGCCTCAGAATTCCATCCCGAAGTACAACCTGACCCATATACCATTTATTCATTCAAGAAGTATTTATGGATCACTTCCTGTTCTCTAGGTACTGGGCTAGGCCATGGGATATAAAATCTCGGCTCTAAATAAGCAGGTCATTTCAACAGGGAGAAAGGCCTTATCAATCCCCACTTATTCTATCTCCTTCTCTTGCTCTCAATCTTTGATCCCTAAGCCATAATAAAGGGGAGAAATACATATTTAGGAACCATTGTATTTGTTAAGTTACATCTTCACTTTTTCAGACTCTTGCTTTCTGCTGTGCTAAGCAACAATTAATTTAATATGATGTTACAGGGGTGAAATTATTGAGCTCCTGTTACGTGACAGACATGAACCATCCTCAGGGAACCCACAGATTCAGGGGTAAAAATGGTGCCTGGGCTTAAGGAAGTCACACGCCAGTAGAGGCAGGCAGGTAAATAAGAAACTCTCATGCTGGGCTAGGGCTGCACAAAGGGTTTGCAGGAAGTATAACCACAGAGGAGGGGGAAATAAATTTTTCCTGGGGGATTCAGGTGAAGCTTCACCAAGGGTGCTATTTTAGTAGTGAAGGGTATGCAGAACCCCTCCAGGCAGAGATGCAAAAGGACGGGCAGAGGAGGCAGCCCTGGCAAATGTACCCTTGGAAGGGACAAGCCACCAAAGCAGGGAACCAGCCCTTGGCACAGAGTAGGTGCTTCGTGGGTTCTGGTTTCCTTCTGCTGTATCCTG